ATCTCACAAAATAACCAAACTTCTGTCTCGAAAATGTTACAGAAAGGTTGCCAAAATTTACGCTCTTCAATTAAAACCTTAAATGAACACGAGGAAATTAGAAAAGAAAAAAAAATATAAAAAAAAAGGAGAAAGGATGGAAAAATAAGATATAAAAAAAATGATGATAATAATTTAATTAATTTGGTGGTAAAAGGATGTATGTTTGAATAAATGAAGGTATGAATGTGTAAGGGAAAATATAAAATGTATTTAATAAAAATATCTTACCTCAGATCTTCGAGATTTAGTCAGAAAAACTTAGAAAAGTTTCAAAATACGGTTTAATCCGGAACAATCCGATAATTGGACGTGTAAAAACGTTACCAATAAATTGCACAACACATAGATGAATCCCAAAAATTTGGATTAGGAAACAATCGCCACGCGAAAAATTCAAAATGGTACGTAACTCTACGTACGTACACGTACTGACACGACTTGAAAAGAGGAAGAGAAAATCTTACACAGACGATAAATATCCTCAAAAATTCACAAAAAAATTGATACTTGCGCACAAGCAACAATAACGAAAGAAGTAACACCATCTTTTAGGGGAAACGAAGAAGTAAAATAAGTTTAGAGGAAAATAAATTGAAAAGGAAAAAGGAAAATCATGAAAGGAGATCTTCAGAGAATTGTCGCTGAACAAGAAAAATTAATTAAACAAAAATTCAACAAAATAAACAAAAAAGTAAACAAGATAAATTATCGCGAAATTTATGCAACTCAAAATACTCGATAACAAAATAAAACATCTAACCCAAAATAAAATTAAAACAAAGAATTAGGAAAGTAAAGGTTAAACACACAAATGAAACATTAAGGAAAAATACAACCGTAACAAACTAAGTTTGTCGTGTTTATTGTTTTTTCTTTGGATTTTGATTATTATTTATTCATTTTGTAAATTTAAATTTAAGATTTTTTGACCATTTAGTTTTTATTCCAATGTACATGCGCTTTTCGATTTTGTAATTTTAACATCAGTTGATTTAAAAAAAACTTGATTTTGATTTTGTAATGTGGTAAAGCGACACATTTATATACTCAATTCCCTCCAGTACATCATGAATTTGTGATTGTTCTCATTATTTTATTCGTTCGACGAATTGCAAATTAGAATTTATTCGAATGATTTTTCCACTTTAACAAAGTTCATTTGTAAGTAACCTTTTTTCTTTTTAAATGAAATTTCTGGTTTGAAGATGTTCCGAATTTGCAATGTTAATTTTTAAATCAGTCTGTTTAATTTTTGTTTTTCATTTTGTAGTTCTGAAGATGCTTACATTGTTTAAGCGAAACATGTCAAATTAGAACTTAATATTCAAAGCAATATATTTAATTAACCAGTTAAAATGCAAAATAATTATTTATAATCTTTAAATGACAAAAGTAGATGAGTTAAAGATAAATTAAATAACTTAATAAAAAAATAAGAAAACTAGATCAAACCTACCTCTGATCTTCGAAGCCTTAGACAGTAAAAAAAACTGTTTTAAATTTTCGTTAAAATAATTAACTCCGGAATAACTCCGTAAATTTATAGTCCTTCGGGAGTTATAAATAAAATGAACATCTTCGTGATGACTTGGATAACAGGGGATATGCCCAAAATAATCCAAAAATTAAATAACAATAAACAAAAATTTTGGCCACTAGGTCACTAGATATGTCTTTAACGACTGACTAGTTAAAAGAGAGAGCATCTCATATCCGGATTTCTTTAAATACCGAAAAAGAAAATGTGAACTTAACGTCACATCTGGTACCAACAAAATCAAAATATATTCAGAATAACTTTGTTTATTAAAAATTATTACGTGAAATTTATGAAACTTTATTTTAAAATTCTCATAAAATTAAATAAATGAATTTGAAAAGAACTGAATTAGAGAAAGGATAGATTAACTAAATTGAACAGTTAAAAATAATTTTTATCAGAGACAGCCATTTTTGGAAAGAGCAACTAAAGAAATATAGGACTCTGCACCGCCGTGAAAATCGTCACTGTAAAAAAAGAACAGTCTCTTCCATATATATACTATCTCCTATATCGCTGACTCCCTATCTAAGCAATGAGTGGCGAGCGTTTCCATCAAAAGCAGACGGAATGATATATGTTTTGTCTTTGTCGTGCCCCCATGTCGCGAAGGCGCTTGCGCGAATCGTAAATTTTAAAGAGTTTGAAGTGTTTCGCGCGTATTTTATGCAGCTTTGAAATGCAATTATTGTAGATAATTGACTTTAATTATAAATTATCGTAGATGCATCAAATAAATTAGAATATATGTACTTTTGTGTGAAATTGACGTTGAATATTGCTTTAAATATCAACTTTATGTAGGTTGTTCATTAAACATTATATTCTTTAAAATTAAATTAATACATATATACATAGTAATTATTAAAAATGTGTACCAAAATATAGTTATTAATTTTTAACATAATTTGTGAGCTCACGCCCTTTAATGAAGTTGTTACATTAATTAAAGATATAAAATATGTACTTAGGGTACTTACTATTTAATGTACATAATATTCTATCATAAAATTTTCATCATATCGATGTAATTATTAATTAAATTTTTAAGAAAAATGTTTCAAGAAAAGGAGGGCTTTAAATTCTTTTTTATTACACTGAGATCGTTCCTTCTACCTGCTCAACCAATTTTTAGGCCCCAAAAATATCTTTTAACAAATTTTCTTCACTTTCTTAACAAATAATAATTACATTTTAAATTGCTTAGTCCTAAAATATGTTAATAATTATGTTATTATACACATGAAACCTATAATATACATAACTAAATATTTAGATTTTAGGTTATGTTTGTCAAACATTTATTTGGTGATTTATAAACATCAAGGTCATCAGCTGCTATTAATTTTTAATTCACCGTCTAATAAGATAAAAGCGTATTCACCACGTGTTCACGCATGTCTCTTGAGTAGACGGGGGCACGACAGGGACAGAGACAGACTCTATTGTTTACACTCTTTTGCTCCCTTAGTCAGCGATATAGGAGATAGTATATATATGGTCTCTACAAATAAAAAAACTTTGCATCTCTAAACAGAATTAAATAAAAGAAAAAAAAATTGGAAAGGATAATAAAAGGAAACACAAAAAGGTTGTGACGAGGGCAGCACCTCGCGCAGAACGTACGTAAGTCGCTGTTCCACATTGCACACGAAGATATCAACAAACACGTCGTTGATATCTTCGTGTACAATTTGGTTCTATTCCCTTTCTTTTTAAATAGCCCGCAAACATACCGTCATATTGATATTTTACATTGTTCACATAACTCCGCAACTTTTTTTAAGATTGTTGACTATCACTGACATTCGTAGAAACTGTCAACAACCTACCATACCAACTGATCAAATTACCGGCACTGTCAATTTAGCCGATAATATACAGTAATTTATATTATCAACATTTTATGTCTATTGATTTTCTTTTTTCTTCAACAAAAACTAAAAATTTAAATAATTAATTTACTTTAACATATATTAATAAAGGAAAATATTAATTAAAAATATATTATGGTGATTATTTATATATTTGTCTTACTAGTTTCGGTTACATTACCGTCTTCAGAGACCTCTACAAAGGTAAGTATAAAAACTTACGTACAATTTACGGTTGAAATTGAAAATGAAAACAAGATAAACTTTATGGACCTCACGCTTTCCAGAAATAATAACACAATAGAATTCTCCATTTATCGCAAACCTACACAAACCGACTGTATCATACCCTACGAATCTCATCATCACGAAAACCAGAAATATGCTTCTTTCAGAGCATATATTTGGCGAGCCTTAAATTCCCACCTTACCCAACAAGAATTTGAAAAAGAAATTAATATTATACAACAAATAGCCCAAAACAATAATTATCCACAATATAACATACACAAACTGATTGATAAAATACAACAAAAGACCACTTTACTCAATATAACTTCTATGAGGAACGATAACAATACAAATAATAATATTATTTATCGTGCCATCACCTACCCAGGAAAAATTTCCCATAAAATTCAAAAAATATATAGACAATATAACATCTGTTTATCCTTCAGATCTAACAACACCACCAAGAATAAAATAGTTAATAACAAAGACAAAACAGACTTTTTACAAAAAAGTGGTATATACCAACTAGAATGTGACACTTGTGGAGCCATATACATAGGAGAGACTGGTAGAAGCCTTATCCAGAGAATCAAAGAACACAAAACTAGAGAAAGCTCAAATTTTGGAAGACATCTTATGTTTAATAATCACAACTTTGATGAAAGGAAAAATAGCAAAATAATACATCAAATGAACAAGAGCCTTCACATGGAACTACTAGAACTCTACGAAATTAATAAGTTTAAACATGACAACGCAAACATTGAAATACTAAATGAACAGATTTTACCACAAAAAACACCACTATATTGCTGTTTAAAAAACCCATTCCCAAAATAATGCACTTTTCTCATCAAAAGAGAGAATCGAGTTTGGTGGCGACTCGATTACTGCATTGATGAGAACCCATGCCCCAAATCCCCTTAATCTTGAATTTTCCTTCGAATGTACCTCCCATGTTAATTTTGTTTCATTTTGAAGATTTATGCATTTTATAGTTTATATAAAGAAAAGATAGAATTATTTATTCCAGTTTTGTGATGTTTGGATTTGTTGTGGATGTGCAAATTTTTGTCGTTTTAACTTTGAATATTGATTGCGAAAACAATAGTATAATTTGATTTGTTTTTATCTCAAATTTTATAAATTAAATACAGATTCCTATTTTTTATTTGTTCATAACCTAGAAATAACTCATTTGCCCAACTTGTCACACATATAATAATTGGTGAGTTTATTTATTAATATTAGTTTTTGTGATAGATAGTTGTAGTTTAGTGCATGAATAGATATAATGATGAGCAAACATTCACTTCCCAACGTTTATAGAAACTAGTTAACGTAAGTGTTTTTTACAATTAATAGTCCCTCTTTTGTTAACCTATAAAAAATATAATTATGAATAATTTTTATACTTACCTTTGTAGAGGTCTCTGAAGACGGTAATGTAACCGAAACTAGTAAGACAAATATATAAATAATCACCATAGTATATAATTTTAATTAATATTTTCCTTAATTCTACAACGGTGATATGGATAAACAAATACATAGAATATATTAATAACTGAAATTATTAAAACGTTGCCATTTTAGTACTTAATATTGCAAAATTCTTTATAGGCTTAGTCAAACTGATCATGTGACACCGAATAGAAGCATGTCTGACATCGTTAAAGGTTTGATACGCTATTTTGCGACTAAAATAACATTTTAATTATTAATTTATGGTATTTACAGAAGTGGGTACTATTTAGAGCAGACTTTTTCATCACAAAGCGTTTTTAAATGGCGAAATAAGGTTCACTTTACTGGAATTTGAGGTAAGATTTTTTAGGTTAATTTTAAAGAACGCGACGGAAACTTTAAATTAATTATAAATTATTATTACAAATATCAAGTATTTACCAATAAAATAGAAAAAGAACAAATTAATTTCAATTATTCATATGATACAAAATAATAAAAATTTGAACAATTAAGAAGTTTAAATATTATGAATTAAAATTGTTAAATGTAAAAAATGTAAAAAAAAATTCTATGAATAGTACTTACTTAAATTTTAAAAAATAACATTGTATTTAAATTCAACTTTATAATTAATTTTTGTCAAAACACTGTTAAAAATTAATATATACGTTAACACGCTTTACAAATTTAACAAACGTTCTGTAGAATTAAAAGTCGTGTAATACCGACAAGTAAAACAAGTTTTGAAGTAAGATTTCGGCGTTGACGTGGAGAAGAAGAAAAAACTGGCTAAACGTATGCTAAATTTAAATGTTCGAAACACCTTTAAATTTTTATGTTAAATCAATGATAACAAAATAAGGGGAAACAAAGAAAATGGGATTTGAAATTATTTAAAGAAGGGGGAGAGGGTGTTGGGATAGGGAAGGTGTTTGGCCGCAGGGACCCCAAAAAGTGCGAATAATATATGCGGCACAAATATATTATTCCTCGGCATTTTGGTGAAAAGGTGTGGATAAGAATTTATAAAGCAGGCTTTTGTTAGTGTGAGCTTGATCATTAAGGCATTCTAGGTGATCATTATTAAATTTAAATTTTTCTATTTCGTATGTTTCTAGTAAATTTAATTTGAAACCTTTATTTTGTTTGCTTAAAAGTGAGACTTTATTTTTTGTATCGAAATCGTGATTGTAAATTATCATGTGTCTATCAAAATTAGAGTTTTCATTATGTTTATGTTCATTTCTCCTAACTTTTATTGATCTACCTATTTCTCCTATATATGAAGCACCACAAATAACGCATTCTAGTTTAAAAACACCATTTTGATCGAGTAAATTTATCTTTAGCATTGAAAAGTCTTTTTTGGAGAGTATCTGTATTTTCAAAATACATATTGATATTGTATTTGCGAAAAATAGATTAATTATTGTAAGCTATATTACCCGGGTATTTAATTGATCTATAGATTAAATTTTGTTTATTATTGGATTTTTGTAGACTTGTTAATAAGTTAAGCTGTTGTTTGTTGAGGAATTTATTAATTAGAGAATTTATATAAGTTATGGAGAAGTCATTATTAACACCGATAGTTTTTATTTTTGATTTGATAAAGGTGTATTATAACATATGCGAGCGTATGTAAGCTCTAAAAGCTGTAGCTTTATGCTTATTATGGTAAAATTAATTAAACGGGATAATAGTATCGATTTGTGTACTACTTCCAGTATCCAGAAATAAAGATGATATGTTTAAATAAGCAATCTATCATTGCATGTCGCAGTGTGCCGATGTAATTATCCATTGTCTGAAATCAGATTCCACATTGTAAGCTTAAACTTAAACCCTGCAATGGATTGATATGATAATAAATGTAGAGCCTCACCTGCAAGCGATCTCGGCTTAGCTGGGTGAAGTCATAGATTTTCCAACCTAATTTATGCCATGGCCACTTGCGGGGGATGCGTTACATTGTATTGTTCAGTTAAGGGTTGATATGATATTAATTGTACAGCTTCGCCCGCAAGCGATCTCGGCTTAGGCGGGCGAAATCAGAGATTCCACATTATGTGCTTAAACCCTGCAATAGATTAATATGATAATAATTGTAGAAACTCGCCCGCAAGCGACCTCGGCTTAGGTGGGCAAAGTCATAGATTTCAACGTTAATTAAAGCCGAGGCTTCTTGCGATCGAAGCGTTGCATCGTTTTGTTCAATTTGGGGTTGATATGATATAAATTGTACAGTCTAGCCCGCAAACGAACTCGGCTAAGGCGGGCAAAATCATTAGTGGAATTAATGATAAATTGTAAGCTTAAACCCTGCAATGGGTTGATATGATAATAATTGTAGAGCCTCGCCCACAAGCGACCTCGGCTTATATGTGTGAAATCATAGATTCTCCAACCTAATTAAATTCAAGGTCGCTTGCGGGCGAAGTGTTACAGTGTGTGCCCATTTTCGGGTTGATATGGTATTAATAGTACAGCCTCGCCCGCAAGCGTCCTCGGCTTAAGCGGGCGAAATTAGACGTTCCACATTATACGCTTAAACTCTGCAATGAATTGATATGATAAAGTTGTAGAGCCTCGCCCGCAAGCGACCTCGGCTTAGGTGGATGAAGTCATTCCTCATCATTCATCAAGATTCTTCAACCTAATTAAAGCCGATATCGCTTTCGGGCGAGGCGTTGCAATGTGTTGTTCAATTTGGTGTTGTTAAGGTATTAATTGTACAGCCTCGTCCGCAGGCGACCTCGGCTTAGGCGGGCACCAACATTATTTCATAATGTTTACGTCTTTATAAGTAGGATTAAATAAAATAATTATTAATAATGTTTTCAATTTATTTTATAGACAATAAGAGGTGATCAAGAAGTTCAAAGTTTATATGCGCTCCTAGAAAAAATCACAGACATAAAAGGTACGCAAATACCGCATACAAAACAACGCTCAGAATCGACGTTATCGCAAACAGTGGAAGTTTTAAATAATTCTTTGGATATTTGTGATAAAATCAATGCTTTAGAAGAAAAATATAGAAACGATACGGCTTTAGAGTTGTGCCGTGAAATTCGAAATACGGAATGGGAAAAATTTGTCAGAAAATTTGTGTTGTTTACGTGTAAAAGATTGGATAATACTTTTGAAGAGAACGAAGAGGAGCTACAAGAATTTTATCGTGACTTAGAAAAAAGCTTTACATAGGAAATTCCGTATAAAATGTCGACCAGTAGGATTCAAATTCCAGCGGTGGCGGTGAAGGTATCCAAAAAAGTTTGGGAATTTATAAATTCGGTTGAGGATTTCGATAAGGCATCTAATGGAATAAAAGTTTTAAATAGGAAAGTGGTTAATGCTGAAATTAAAGAACTTCAATATTTAATGTCTGAAAAGGATTATAAAAGTTTAAACAAAACAACCGAAAACGGTATTAAAAAAGATTTACGCAAAGGAACCACTGTTAAAAACGACGAAAAATTGTTAAATATGGAGGATATACATTGGTTATACGAAAACATAAGAGATATTATTATTATTATAAAGATAAAGAACATAATAAAAAGCATGATAATAAAATTTATTTGCAAGAATTATTAGAAACATCTCAAATTATTCTTCCTAGAAACAACTTCATTCCTAGAAATCATGATTTGGAGAAGCGGTGCAACACGTTAAAAATCCAACAAGAAAATATGCGTTATAAATCCATGACTAAGAACGTGGACAGCGTTAGAAACTGTCATCCTGACGATTCCATTGCGTTCCAAGTCAAACACCTCAATCGACAGTTGATCGCCATTACCTTCGCTTTTGGATTTATCGGTCTCGAGTATATGCTTGGAAATTTACACTTGGGTTTTCGACTTTTACTCGGTATTATTTGCGCTATAGTCATCGCATTGGGCGAACTGTACTTTTTAGCAAAAAAACTCAACGAAGAAACTTATTTAGAAGTGTAAAGTCACGAAATGAGTAAACATTCTAAAATTGATTAATTACTTTTTTATTAATTTGTATATGTAATATTAATGTAATTTGTAATATATATTATTTATCTTTTTTTTTTGTTGTTAATTGGGGTTATACAGGTGTCTCAGTGAGACCGTTCATTAGACGTTTCTGGGGTTCTAGCCAAAATGAAAATTTGAGAATTCAGATTTAAGTATAATTAATTGCGTTTTCTTCGACTAAAATATTTTCAGATTACTAGCACTTCCGGTTATACCGGAATATTCATGTTTGGATTTGTCTGTTTTCAAGGTTTATGAATATGTTCACTTTTTGCAATTTGATTCGGCCAATTTAATTCTCGAGTTATTCGAATTTTTTTAGAAAAATCTGCTCCAGCAGACATTCAGAGAACACTCGATTTTGGTTATATCAATTTAGAATTCGGAATATGCTTAAGCAACATGATTTGGTTTTGATGTCGAAAACGGCTGTCTAGAACGTTTGGTCACTTTACTATGGCACGTTAACTTTTCAAAACTTCGAAATACCATAACTTGATTTTTTTAAATGGCACCCCCAATATTTTATTACTTAGTCGTCTTCGGCGTCTCATTTTACATCTTTTATATCCCATATGTCCTATACCTAACTTTAATAGTTTGGGAGATAATTAGGGTTCTTTGAAAAATACACACATATCATCGATATTTATCATCGATCGTTCTCACTTGTTTACGTCACTTGATGCATGTGAGCTAATAATTATCTGTTAGGTCCCTCAATATTAGTACTAAAATGGGTTAAAATCGATAACAATAACGAAACTAATATTTATACAAATCAAAAAATCTTAATTTATTTCTTGTACATGAAAAGCGCGACGAAGTTCGTCGACAAACATCGTAAATCAGACTTTGACGTTTGTCAATAAGTCATTAAACATTTGTTTTCATGGCACACTAGGTTAATAACGATATGATATATGTCCATTTTTCAAAAAACCCTAATTATTTCGCAAACTATTAATGTTAGGTATAGGACACTTGGGATATAAAAGATGTAAAA